GAACAAACAACAACAACAATAAAAAAAAGAAAACAGGGACATGGAGGTGACTCCAAGTTAATAAATATCTATTCACGGAGGAAATTTGAAAAAACAGAATGTACCCATGCATGGACCCTCAGGATGATCACATGGCCTTCATGCTTTTGCCTTGGTCTCTTGGACTTTCTATTCTGGGGAAAGAGGTGGATTCTCAGAACACAGGAGTTGGGAGTAGTTGCTAGATGAAATTGGTGCTTTTGAAGGTGGGATACTCTATGAATACTTTCAGTTCTTGGAAACTTAGTGCAGGGACCCCAGAGAGTTAGCATTCTTATCTGGGAAGATGGAACACTGCCTATTGTTGCTTACACAGCTAAAACCTATGATAAAGCTAGCTCTGTGAACAAGAACATAAGATGAAGCCTGAGACCAATTCCTCTATGAAGTAATGTGCTTTTTCTAGGGCCAAGAGACAGATACACAGAATAAACAAAAAAAAAAAAATGGGTAAAATGAATCCCTGTGTTGTCTTACACTTTAATTATACTGTAGTGCTTCTCATTGTCAATGTCTATCAGGGACCTTATTGCAAAGGAGACTGAGTAATACAGTTTACAGTGTGTCATCCCCAAGATCACAAAGTAAATAAATGCTGGCTTTGTTGCTGCAATATAATCCATAAAAATTATCATATTTTGTTTTCCAATTTTGGTATTTTTTTCATAGTAATTACTATAGATATATATCTATGACCCTTTGACTGTGAAATATAGAAGACTGCTGGTTATCATGAGTGAAAGCATGTAAGAGCCTTTGATTATGCTTCACCATGCTTTCCTTCTTATAGTTACTCACTTAAACAATCTTAAATGGGTCCTGGATGAGCAAGATGTGGAACCACCTTTACCCATGATATATTTGACATGTCAGGAGAGCAATACTTTTTTTTAAGTCCTTGAAATCTTGATGTTAATAAAAAAAGGAACACCTTGTGTTTTAGTCAACTTTTTCACCACTGTAAACAAAAGACCTGACAAGAAAAATATCAGTAGAAAAAAAGTTTATTTGGGGGCTGAGGGTTTCAGAGGTCTCGGTCCATAGATAACAGATTCAATTGCTTTGGGCCTCAGTGAGGCAAAACCACACGGCAGAAGAGTGTGGTGAAGGAAAGGGCCTCAGGTCATGGAATTGAAAGCAGAGAGAGGAGAAAGAGAGAGGGGCGGGGGAGGGGAGAATCCCCTCACCACCATGGAAAACATGTAACCCCAAAGTCACTACCTTGAACCCCATCCTACCTGCCTATAGTTACAACCCACTTGATCCCCATCAAGGGGATTAATGCACTGATTAGTTGAAAACACTCATGACCCAATCAGTTCACCTCTAAACTGTAGCATTGTCTCACACATGAGCTTGGGGAGAGCATCTAATATCTAAACCAAAACATCCTGGAAAATCCCCAAGGCTGGAGGTATAGCCCAGTGGTGGAACACTTACCTAATATGAAGGAGGCCTTGGGTTCAATCCAGAACACTACAATAATTTTTATTTACACAGAAGAAAAAAATAGAAAAGAAGAGGAAAAATCTTCTGAAGAGCATTTCAATGGTACCTGTATTA